TCATGCACTTGATTTTTATTCTTAATCACATTAGATAGACAATCTTTTGTTCTACGTATTCTGCTATTAATTTGTGCTGTTGTGTGCTGTTTCTTTCTTCCTAGGATCTGTCAGCTGTGTTGGAGTTATATATGATGAAGGGAAATTTCAGTATCTCAACAAATGCCATGGACGTACCTGGTCATCTCTTTAACAGTCACAGCCGGAACCGATGCCACTGTTTTTGTTTTTTTTTAAAATGCGGTCTCAATTAAGGACCGTTTGTCAAAGAGATGTTCAAATACACGCCAGCCTATTTTAAACAAGATTACTCTTTGTTGTGTTCTCTTGATCTAGTTTTGCCGAGTGTACTAGCCCTGGTGCTGTTCCTTACCAAGGGCCCTTGAGAGAGGAGCTGAGTCCAATCAAACCAGTGATGTGGCATTAATTCACTTTAGTGTCAAAATATATATAGTGTTCGTCTCTTATACTTCCGTATATATCTCAGAGACAATGTGTGTCAAACATAATGACAAGGCGGACTGTCCCTTCATTTAATCCTGATATCTAAAAAGAAAATTGTAGATTTATGTTTATATATCACATTTTGTGTTATGAGTGTACATACATGTTGGTGACATATGCTTTACATTCTGAGGACCGAGATTGATGTTCAGGCTGTTAAAGTTAGCTACTCTTTCTTAGCAATGTACCACCTCTATCTCAAGGCAAAGTCGGTGTTGTCGTTCATCTGCTCTACTTGGTGAAAGTGCGCGGCATACTAGCATATAATCTTCATGAGAAATGCCGCTTACGATGTGATAGACTGGCAACGTTGTGGTAGGCCGTTGCTACTGGATTTCTATAGGCTGAACGTCTGATAGCTTCTATTTTGTGAAAAAGATAGTTGATAATAATTTTCTGAGTTTATGTAAGGAAATGATATAAGTGAACTCATAATTGTTTGACATGTTACAAGTATGTGACAATTGCGTTTTACTGCCTAACTACAACCACTACCGAATGTCCTTGTTTTCTTGTCAGGATTTCATTCAGGTATCTAGCATATGGTGGTAGATGTCCTCTAGGGCAGCCATTTGCCCATCAGTCTTCAGGTCGTCGTCATTGCACTACAAAGCTCTCCTACTATCCAGGGATGCTGTAGGTAGGATACTCCCGCTTTGAACTCCTCTCCGATTTGGCAAATGTGCGCGACTATCTCTTGATGTCTCAGTGCGAGACATTTACTCGAACAAGTACACGCAATGATTGCATAACGATGCCCTCCTTGAAGCTATTTCTGATGTAATTCTTAATCATTTGTAAAGTCACATATCTCTGGCTGGACATAATTATTCAACAACTGAGTAAATATCCTCGTAAGTGCGAGCGTCTATTGTCGGCTATTTAAACAGTGGACCATGGGTCAGAGAATGAACAGTAATGGGTGTCAGTACCAAGAAGTCTCTCACGTTTGCGCACGAGGCGCAGAATGATGGTGAGCGATCTGGTTGTTGCTCCATCTCGAGCTACCCCAGAGATGCTATCACCGCAATGGTGCATCCAACCCACGTATGCACCCAATGCTGTCATACCAGGGCCTGTGGGAGAACCCTCAACTAGCAACACTCTTTGTCAAGCTCCTGCCGGGCTTTAGCTTCAGCACCGGCCCTTTTTTGAGGCGGGACCTGGGTGAGGCGGATTGAAAGGGATTTAGAAGGCCAGACTCCCGAAGAAGCCCAGGAATGAGAGAAAGGACCCTAAACCAAACCCAAAGAACAACAGAGGCAGATTTTCTCATACGTGATCACCTAGCTTTCATTAAGGCTGATGTCACCAACAGACTCTACCATACATGATTGGGCAGGACCCCAATTACAGCCTTGCCATTTTCCTTTCGAGACATTACTTTACTTGTGATGCGAACATTAAACAAATACCTGTTGTTTTGAAAGGTGCACATCCACTATAAGTAATGTAAGACATTGCCTGGACAAAAGGCCAAAAGCAGCATGTACCTCTGTCCGGTACAGCTCCAAGAGTTATGTCTCGCAGGTTGAAGTTATGGCTACGTGACTAAAGATTAGAGATAATAAACACAAATTTAGTTATTTGGAAGTTTTGTGTAGGGATGGAGTGTTTATCTCAGCAAGTATATGCCAGAATGGCTTTTATCCACTAATGGGAATAACTGACAGTCAGTTTTAATGTTTGTTCCCAAAGAGCACATCTCTATTCTTCTGACAGAACCCAGTGTTATGTTGTCTCTTGGAAATGTATTCTAAGATCTGAGCAGTGCTTCCTCGAAACCTTCTTGGTGTCTGGAATAGTGTGAAGCATTGAGAATGGTATGGTTTTCCAAGTAGAAAATGGATTCACAATTTTATTCCACTCATCTCTGCAATCTCAAATGGTAGAAACAGGCATCGCTAAAAAAAAGATATATGCAACTTTTGAAATACAAATGTTTATCTTCATATTGTATCTTGCTTCATATAGTGTATTTTCTTAAGAACATTAGATTGACGTTAGTAAAATTGAATGAAATATCTACTAGCATACTAAAGCACATTAGACTAAAGCCATTAAAAGGTCACTAACAGTCCAGAAGAATATGTTAATTACTCCCTGCATGGGTAAGGGATTAAAAGAGGCAGATAGCAAACAAGTTGTCGGGATGCACAGTTGAGACTAAATTTAATATCATGGAATTAATAAACTTGTGATTAAGTTTATTTTAGATCAATACCTGCCCTGAAAGATGTGTGACATCATTACAGTGTCACGTTAAAATATCAATGTATTTCCGAAGGGGTGGTCATGATAGGTTGACAAGTACAGTTCCAAGTATTAAAACAAACATACCAACAATTCAGTCTGAAACTGGTACAATACAGACATTCTCGATAAATTCCTATCAGTGCTTAAAACTGCATATAGCGTCACTCATGGTATAGGTTTAAATAGTATTATGTAATCTCTTTTGCTCTTTCTCAGATGCCTTGTTCTATGTGCCATGGAAACTAGTCTGTACACTTACATCAGTTTAGCATTTATACCTCTAGGATACAGTTTTATTGTGTATGATAAGTTTATACATCCTTTTAGCCTTGCTGTAAAACATGACTTGCCAGCTAAGCAACCTAAGCCATTTCTATTCTCCATAGATATTTTCTGAGCTTTTATTTTGATCATATGTGCAAGGGTTACTACTTAACATGTAATGAAACATTGTTAGGATATCAGGTTGTGTCAGTGAATTACATAATGTATCATATCAAGGATAATCTGCATTCATGTCCAGCCCGAACATGTGCATTGCCTTATTGATTTTATTTACTTATTTATTGTGTAAATTACCTTACCACTGTAGCACTAGCACAGCAAAGTAACATTAAGTAACCTTAATCAAATTAATAAATTGATGAATAGCTACATACATGAATTGCAATACTCTATAATAATCACAGTGTTCATTAAAAATTCGGTTAAACACCGATAACTGTTATGAATAGCGTTCATCTTTTAGACAGTTTGTTCATTTATCTAGCTTAGCTCTTCTCAAATTGACCGCTGCTGTCAGCACGCTTGTTCAAAACGCGTAACCTTTAATTTGAAGACGAGCTGTATCTGTTTCCGGCTCTCGACTTCCTTGTTCAGTTTTTATTTTACAATTTGGATAGTGGAACAAACTGATTCCACGTCTTCATTCAGTGCGACAATAATACTCGTTTAGGGCAGCATCGGTCAATGAAGGACGAGCTCACAAACGTCAACTTACATTTGCACTTAGCACAAGTAGACAATGCCCTACCAATAACGTGAACAGAAGCATTATACTTGCACGCTATATATCTGTACGGCATTAAAAACAAAACAAAGAATAAGATGACAAAGTTTAAAAAGAAAAAACATACGGAAAAATATTATATTGTTTACTTGCAAGCTGGAATTAAGCTTTTTCAGGATCTTATATCTTGTCAGGCAGCCTTCACAGACACTTGGTCCTCAACATATTTAGTGTATGAACAACCAAATCTGAGTAAGCTCTACAAAGAGAAGCACTTTGGACCCATGAGATCCTCTCTTATTTGTTTTTGAGCTTTATTCAATTTACTGCTGGCAAGAAACAAGGTTCCCACCAAATTCCACCAAAAAAAAAAAAACATAATTTCACTCTCCTTCACTTCCTCTTGCACACTCTGATTTCTTCATCTCACTTCCCAGAAAAGCATGAATGTGTTCCAATATGTTTCGTCTAAACATATTTATTTTTTGCTGTTTCGTTTTCATTCTCATATCTTAGCAACCAGTGTTTTGAGCAGTTCAGAGTATCTTCAAGTGTACTGGAGCCTGATTGTGATATGATTTCATCTGAAGAATATGGAACAGTTTCATGAGGTTTATGACCTGGCTGAGATTTATCACCAACCAGCCGAAACCAATAACAGGCTGAAGTCCGATAAAGCCATGGCTGCTACAATGTTCTGTTGGTCTTGGGTGTTTTTCAACGTTGTTTATGTGATGACATGGCCTAGGCAATTGTCTCTTTTTGAGATAGTGTAAAAAAGTTTGTTCATTAAAGAAACAGTAGTTGAAATGTTTTTGTGTTGCATTGCCACTTGCATCAATATTATTCCATTTTCAGTAATTTGTTGCTATTTATGACCATTATGACATTGTATATAAGCAAAACAAACACAGTCCTGCCACATCAAAGTTAAAGTAATGAATATAACACAGATAAGTAATGGTCAAACTTTTTCCTCCATCCTCTTTTGGCATCACAGATGAGAAGTGACTTAGATGTATCAAATTCCACCCGTCCAAGCTGTTCACATCCTCTCCGCTGACATTAGCAACCCTGAGGGCTCAGTTGCCAAGCAGGTCACAGTGAGCTTCAAATCACTCCCAGACGCCTCTTTCTCACAGACGCAAATGAAAAACAGAGGAGGCCCCTCGACTCTCCGGAGAACCCAATATTAGTATGATGGTGAAATAAACCTCTTTGTTCCTTACACTGGAGATGGAAATTGATTTATTGGTATAAGCAGCAGCACTAGCATGATGTTAACATGTTAAATCAATAACAAACACATATGAATTCCATTTTCTACAGATTATATAAACAGTATATACGTTTGATGAATAGTGGTAAAATAATTCTGTACAGATATCACTTATTCTTCTGTACACAAGTGTGCAAAGACACCCCAACTAAAGAAGTGCAAGTAATTATACACAGCACACACACACACACACACACACACACACACACGCTAGAACACATTCAAAGACACATATGCTAACACACATTTAAACGCACACAGGTTTACATGTATTCACATATCAAACAGTATAAGGCAGTACAGCTGTTTGGTGGCTGAATATGATTTCCACATAAAAATAATTCTTAAAATAATTTTGGGAAATACCTGTACTTACTTTCTTGCCAAGATTTATATCACTCTCATTTCTGTAAGTTAGATATAAAACTACAGCTGGCAGCTGGTTAGCTTAGCTTAGCTTAGCTTTAGCTCACCAAGGAAGTCACTGCGCCCAGCCAAGAATTAGTCCAGTACATAAGCCCCCATAAATAGTGATAGGCAAGTTACTTAAAATGTAATGAATTACTCATTACATATTATTTGGAAACATAATTTACGTTACTTTACTGATTCATATATGCAAAAGTAATTAGGTACATTCTCTACTTTCATTTCTCAGCTAATTAGTTTTGTCAAAAGTGTCTTTACAGCCTCATGTCTCATATTCTGGATTGTATTTGTAGATATAGAAAATGCGTCATTGTGATTCAACAAGCACGCAGCCTACGTTTTGTTGGTATTTATTTCCCATCAATTGTGAGTGACGTTGCAGGGTTCACACACATTTCAACTTTGAACAAAACCAGATGATTCCTGAATGTAGGTTTCCCAGTGGCTAACGTTTGCAGGCCAGCTAATTAGGACACAACACCTAAATTATACAACTTTAAAGTTACTGGGAGTTGCATTTCCCCTCCATATGCGTGCTAGTGTCCGAGCTAGCACGTGCTAGACCACTGAAGGGAGACCAAGCTCATCTTCATCCATAAAACTCAGACAGCAAACAAACTGACCTCCAAAATGTCACAGTAGGCTAACAAAGCATTACTAAGATTGATAACTGTAATGTAATTGCTGAATTTCAAAACTCATTGCTGAAAAAAAGTTTTTACACTTTACTGTTTTAGTATGGATTAAATAAACGAGATACAATGTGTTAATTAGGAAGCAAATTTTGTTACCTTTGGACACAGCCCAACTACCAGTTTCCCTCTGTTATCAGTTTTTATGCTAAGCTAAGCTACCTGACTTTACATTTAATAAACAGACATGAGAGTGGTATCTTATCATCTTACTCTTGGCAAGAAAGCAAATTATCATATTTCCCAAAATACAAAACTATTCCTTCAACATTTGGAGTGTTCCTGACTCCCAAAAAAACTCCTCTGCTTCTGTCATTACACAGGTAATGTAGTCTGAGTAACATGCTTATTATTACTACAATATAACACTTTATAAAAGTGGACACTATACATATATATTCCATGGGTTATACATGCATAACTACTGTTGATTATGTAAAGTAAAATTCACAGTGTAGTAGGAAAAAAAGCTAATTCCTGTCCATTTTTGGCAAATGGTGGATCAGACCTGTCATAATGCATTACTTCATATTTATCATTTGCTTGACATGTGCTATAAAAATACAGAGTTGTAACTTATGTGCTCTAAAACCTACAATCCTGTATTTGATTTTATGCCCGTGTATTTTGGCATATTCTGACACTGGATGAGATTACAACAAGTCGTCCAACCTGAACAACCATACAGGTCTGTTGTCCCTCTGATACAGCATCATATGAGAATCTCAAGCCAAGTGGACCTTTGCCATCATGCTCATAATAATAAACATGCAGTCAAGTTTATGGAACGGTCATGGTTTGCTTAGGTTTAGGCACAAAAACTGTTTGGTTATAGGAAAATATCACGGTTTGACTTAGAGCCAAATGACATTTATCGTTATGGTTACAATAATAAACATGTGGTTAATGTAGGATGATCCTGGATAAAAGAAACAATGCTCACTGATTGGTTTCAGATGGGAAACAAACAGCAGTCTCCTGTGTCAAAGTTCTATGTTTTTTGTGGCTCCATCCATCCAAAAAGTAACATAATCATTAAAAATGATAGTTACTGCTCAGCTCCATCCTGTTAAAGTTTTTCCCCTGCTCATCCTGCTCTCCCCCGTCTCCTCTCACGCTACAGCGTCACTGTCCAAGGGTGTGGGAATACAAGGAGTTTGTCCTAGGAAGTGAGGCCTGCTGAGAGGCCCAGGGAACTTCAGAGCACCGTGCATCAAATCCATTGTTTGTTCCTTTTAGCTCCAGTTCCTGATGCATCCGTGCAAGGCTCATACATTGCTTCAGTGGTCCAGAGGATGTGTATTTGTTGTCTAAACAAGTACTTTTTGATGTAGCCTACTGCATATACGTTAAAGTGTGCATTGGTTGCATTTCAGAAGCTTGCTCGGGATATTAAAAAGCTTGAAAATAGTCCTCAGGTGTGCGGTCAGTTGCTGTCTTTCCTGATGCTGCGGTCAGCGTACGGGTTGTTGGGCTCGGGGCTTTTACATTGGATACTGGTACCATTCATGGGTCCGATGCTGCTCAGTTGGTTGTCAGAGTAGCACCAGCAGCACAAACATGACTTGAAGAGCAGAGGGAAAAAAAAGGGAAAAATTTAAAGGAAAGGTTCAAGGTTCAACATTTTGGGACATACACTTATGAAACTTTCTACTCAAGGGTTAGATGAGAAGACGGATACAGCTCACAATATCTGTCTATTGAATATGAAGCTGGAGCAAAGACTGAAATCAGAAAGATGCAAATCCACCCAGAGACACCTTCAAAACTGACAAATGTCCCAACATGTCAGCATAGCAATTTTTCACCAAAAGATATTTCCATGTGTGCAGTTATCCTCTGTTTTGCTCCCCCACCTCCCTCCCACAACTACTTTGACATGCAAACTTGAGACATGGTTTATCTCCAGCCCAGGTCCCTTTGACAGATATTTGCGATTGTGACCTCTGCCAACAAAGTGAATACATAAATCAGCGGGCTGCTTTTACATGTTGCTCATGGAATGTCATCACAGACTCTGAGTCATGGACAAAGACCTGAGTTCACTGTTTGTTTTACTGGCCAGACTAAATGAGAAGGCTTATCATGTGAGTGTGTTACATGCATTCATATCTGTCTCTTCTAGGGAAGTACACTACCTTGAAGCAGTTTTTGAACTTCTTGCTGACAAAGTAGAGGATAATGGGGTTTATGCAGGAGTTGATTGTTGCAAGGTTGATACCGAGGTAATCCAGGACCAACAGGAAACTAGAAAATAAAAGAAAAGCAGATTATCAACAATCAGCCTGGTTTCTTTCAACTTTTTCGAAGTTAAGAAATACAACCTTATTTTCATTAACCTGCATACATTTTTATAAAAATCTATTTAGTGGGGTTTCTGGGAACCGAAGAATAGTACCATCTTTTTTTTTAAACAGACAAGATCACGAACTCATAACAAACACATTAAAATCACAGCACAGCAGTGTCATGTCTTGTACATTTGCATACTGTGTTGATTATTGACCTATAAGTATCTTTTGTGTAAGAGGTTTGTTCCACCAGTAAATCACCTGAGCAGCTCACAGCGCATCTTATCATTCTGGTAGTAAACCATCTTCTTAAGGATCCTGCTGAGGTGCAGTGGGAACCAGCAGAGGGCAAAGATGAGGACAAGGCAGAAGACGGCTTTGGCTACCTCCCTCCTCTGCAAAGAGAAACAAAGGATTAGAGCAAAGATAATGAAGTTAGTGTAATGGAAGATTATTGAATAAACACTGCTGACTAGCGTATTCATTTTACACGTCACACACTTTATAAATGTTTCTGTTCCTTGAGGGGAATAAACACTTGACTCAATGTAGAAGTAGAAGTTAGTGGTATTGTCCAACCTGTTTGAGGTGCTCGCTGAGAGCTATCCGAAGGCTGCCGTTCCTGTGGTTCAGCATCTCGCTGGTCATCAGAGTGTAGAAGATACAAGTGCAGGCCAGTGGTACACAAAAGTAGAAGCCAAACAGCCACCAGTCTTTTGCATCCTTGTAAAACTACAGAGACAAGCAAATGTGATGCAATAAGAAATACATGCATAAATTACTGTGTGACTTGGTAGTTCTGTAAAAAGAAGAGGCCACAATTTTCCACCTGCACACACACCCTCTGTGATGCCATATCCACTTCCTTTTCCGCCACCTGCCTGGCCCTGGTTCAGACTTTAAGACTTCCTCTGACCTAAAACAGCTTTCTGTTCATTTTCTGTAATTGCCAGTTTCCCAACCAATGGCTCCTCTTGTGCCTCCATCTATCCATGGAGGGAAGATCTCTCTTTAAAATTTGGCAGCTGTTGATGATGTGGGGCTTTAAGATCCTAATAAGACATCATAATGTGATATTGAAATGTAGAAGTAAATAAAATATTATCCTAGAATCTATACTTTTGTAATTGAACCTGACCCGGACCTAAACCACTACCAGCCTACCCTTGTACTCCAGTGTTATTAAAGTCCACATGAGCGCGTCATGTGTGTCCTGTTGTGAGTCTGAAAACAAACTGTTTTAATTGCTCTGTGTATAATGAGACCATCTGGCTTTCTGTGGTTCTGAAAAATATGGTAAGTATGCTCTTGAAAAAAAAAAAACTATTTCAAAATCACACAAACAGCCTGAACCTTATTATACAACTTACACGAAAAGCAAAAACAAAAAATTTAACTGACTCCAAACTTTGGCCTCATGTGCCAAACAACACAAAGTTTGGTAAGAAAATCAAGTTAAAGAAAAATGTGCCATTTCACTGCAGCTGAATAATAGTGTTGAGAGGCGTGTGTTTCTAAGACCTCAGCATTGTATTGCTGATATTTAAGACAGAGTACTTCCATTTAGTGCATATGGAATAGATAGGCACATGTGGCTCAGCTTGAGGCCTCAGATTTCAAGCCTCAGTAATTGCACTTGGCCTGCTCTCAATTATGTGCTCCAAGGATGTTAAAAAGGCCATAGTCACTATGAGAGAGTAAGTAGACCAAGTTTATTTTTTAAAGGGATACTCTGCTCAAAATCCTCCATCCCCTGGTTTGAAAGGCGAATGTGGGTGGAGAGGCACATCCTCAAGCATCACTGTGTTGTTGTATTCTGATTTTCTCATGTTTTTAATTATTTATCGCCCAAACAGGAAATATTGCAGGTGATTGATTTTACTGTCATATAAATGCCCTAAAAATATATGCTCCTATAACCAAAATAGCACATCAGCGTGCCAGCTGGCCATTAAAAACACTCCCTAAGCCTGAACAAACAACACATGCTTTTAAGATGATGGAAATATGAAGCTGAACTTGCACTTTGACTGTAAGTAGTTCTCATGCAGGCCAGGTGGGCTTCCTATCTCCTATCTCTATTACCACAGAAATATTTTGTCTCTTTATCACAAGATTCAACAACTCTTCTGTATCTGTACCTTAACACAGTGTACTACACAGCACATTGTGGCCTGAATATAGGCAAAACAATGGAGCGAAAAAAGCACTTTGCTTATCCAAGAAAAAAAAAAGATAAGAAAACAGATAAGAAGACAGCGTACCATCATGAAGTCCGATTTGGGGTTAAGCATGCATGTGCGGAAGGTTTCGTTCCTGTAGTTGAAGCTGACCATGTCGAAGCCAATAGCCTCCGGTATTGCCAGGATGAGTGACAGCACCCAAATAGACACAATCTCAATGACTGTGGAGAGAGGAATGCCCACTCCCTGCACCCTGCTCCAGGATGCCACAGCCCTGTACCTGTGACACAGGAGGATACAAAATGAACATCCAGTGTGTGGCTTTGTGAACGCACAGAAAAAAGGTTAAACATATTAAATTGATTGGATAAGATGAATATGATTAGGGGATAATACAGGAAACATTATTATACACTCCTTGTCATGGTCTCAGCCTGGAGGCTCCAGGGTTTTGGTTTTTTGGACTTTCTTGATTTAGTTTTCTGTGTTTTTGGTGTGTTTTCTAGTGTCTAGTTTAGTCTTCCCTGTCTTGTGCTCTGTTTCCCCGTGCACTTCCTGGTTTATTTTGTAATTTGGTTCCTTGTGTGTCTCAGTGTTTTTGGCTTCCTGTCTTGGTCTTGTTTCTGTGTAGTGATTGTCTGCCCCGCCCTAATGTGTTTCACCTGTGTGCAGTCACCTTGCCTCCTGTGTCTATATAGTATTTGTGGTCCCCTTTGTCTCTGTTTGTTCTTCTGTTTAGTTCAGGGTTTGTTCACGTCTGTTCATGTCTGTTCTTTGTTAAATAAACCTGCCTGCACCGTCTCCCATGTGTTGGCTGCATTTGGGCCCAACTTACCTCGCAAACCTTGACACTCCTGGGATAAAAATAAGAGCATTTAAATGAAAATGCACCAAATCATCACCATGATATGAATGTGACATGATTAAATAAATGTCCATTTATTAATTAAAAGGTCTCCAGCAGTTCAGTTGCTTTCAGTCATTTCTCCAACATGGAATAGAGATCAGTCATTTTCTTTGTCTCTCTTGACTGACAAAGCTAACAACACTTTGTGTATGCATGGCAGCACACCAAACACAACAAACTGCTCAGTCAGCAAAGAATATCAAAATGTTAAGAATTAATGAAGAGAGATGATCAATTGTTTATTTTAAATATCTAATATTTATATTTTTGTGAAGCCTCCAAACAGACTGGCCCATGTTGGCAGAGAGGTCTGTCTGTTGGCTTGTGTTTCCCACGCACTGAACTTGTTTGCTTGTTTGTTTCATTAATGGAAACCACTTGTCGAAATGTTTTAGTAAAATCCTGCATCAAGATTTTATGGCAAAAACAATATATTTTTCATGACACATTTGAATTTCTCTGTTGAACAACATGGCGGCATTTATATTTTACTAAGTGGTAATGTATCCACCTTTTTCTCTTCCTCCAACATTGAAAAGATACAAAAGAGACTCAAGTACTTTCATGATAGGCACAAAGATATGCTACACATTTCCTGGAAACAAATGGAGAGCATCTGCTCTTGAACACAGCTGTACAGCACCGCAGTCTTCCTTTTTTCCCATAAAAGAGGTCATTAAATATGTTTGCCTAGTTGAACCTTGAAGCCTATTCAGAGCATACAGGGGAACCGCTTATCTCTAAAGTTGTGTCTAGTGCATAGAGTGAGATGGCATTGAGTTTCAGCACTTCGTGATCATCATTTATTCATTAGGGAATTTCTATTAAGGTACTATTAACAAAATAACTTGCTACTATACTTGCCATCAAGATAGAGTTTTTAATATTTACATCATACAGTATATAGAGTGTCCAGTGCCCCAATGCATTAAAGAAGTAAAAAAAAAATGTTTTTTAAATTGCACAATATTTGAACATTGAGGCAAAAGAAAAAAACATGAGCAAAAAGATAAATAACTCTACGGTGAACATGAACAATTGGTAAAGACTTTAGGAGTTTCCCGAAAGTGATTAGCTCACTCTTCCCATCCTTACACTGGAATCAAATCTAAATGGTTCATGATAACCAAAATTAGAAAAACATATGACGAATTGATCCAAACGTAAAGCTCTCCTGTGCCAAGTAAAAAAAATCGGATGACCTGGCAAGGCTAGCTGGCCAAATCCCATTTGTTTAATTTTCTTTTCAATGATTTGTCCGTTTTACTGTGATCATATCTGCTGTCTCTACTATGACACAATGCTCCTGCACAAGCATGCTGGCTTTTGAGAAACTTTGTTTTAATGTCCAGGAAGTTATGGAGAAGGAATCAATTCCCTAAAACCTACTTTAGAATACAGATTTAATAAACATGTGCAAAACCCATTAGGATATTGTTTTTTTTTTTTTTTTTTTAGAATACACAGAATCCACCAAACCCCAGCTTCATTTGTTGAAGCTGTTGATGTGACTTCATAAAGCAGGGTGGAGCGTGACGGCACTGACCTGTCCACGCTGAGGGCGCACAGGTTGAGAACAGTGATGCCCACAGAGGCTTTCTGCAGGAAGGGCACCAGCTTGCACAGACACAGGCCAAAAACACTGTCATCAAAAGGCCAGCGGGACAGGAGGAGCTGGTGGGAAAAAAAAGTCATGATTTTCACATCAACACAAATCTCAAAGGGATTACAAAACAACATCTCTTATCTAAACTTGATCACATCATGCACATTAATATGCATTTTCACTTACTCGATGCATCATTAGAAAATAAATGGTTCGAATTAGGTAATAAGTCTCTACAGGTCTTTAGGGAGCCGACTATTAGTCTCACTTTTGTTACTGAATTTACGTCCACCATCATTAAGATCTATGTAAGGCAATGTTACTGAAGTTCAAAGCACATCAAAGACCTCTCAACGTCATCTTAATCTCACAGAGAGTTTAGACACGGACCAGATGGGAATTCATCAGCCCATAAAACTTTTAACAGCTTTTGCACACATTTCCTGTGAACATAGGACCTCTCAAAAACCTGCAACTAAACTTTAATAATAAGTCACAATGTATCTGAGAGCCGCTTCCACAGCCTCTTATGACATTACTTCCTTTGGTATAATGCGTCAAGGTCAGTGGAGTTCTTTGTTTTGCCATCGTGGTGGTCTTGGCAATTTTCCATCAATGGACACAACCTGCTTCGAACGCATTTCTCTACACAGAACCAAAAGGAAGAACTTCAAGGTGCTTCCTGGCCCCCTTATGTTTACTTGTGCAGTTTAAGTTTCCCAGGATCTCAGAAGAGGAGCCCACGTCATTGTTTTTAAAGTATAAGTAGCTGATTATTTTTGGAAACACAGTGGTAGCCCTGCGGAAATGAATGGGGGTCATCAGTATGGTTTCCTCACTGTAGACGTGGCTCTTTCCTTGTTTGTGCATAAACTGTTCTCCCAGTAAGATTTTTCGTTTCCTCTTTGCACATGTGTTGCACAAACTACAAAGGCACTGTGCCCTCAAAGTCCCAAGTTAATTTTAACCAGGTGGCTTCCTAATTTTTCTGTTGTGAAAATACGTCCAACAATGCACTCATAAGATCAGGTTGACTGATCACTTCATTTAGCTGTTGATTATTATACAAAGCATGACACTGTTTACTGGTATAAATCAACCCAGGGCAGGAACATTAAGAATAATGTATCATCATTAAACATATCAGCATGTTTTAAAAGGCACAATCCGAAGTCAACGAAAGAGTCTCCCTGTCACCAAAAATCAAAACACAAAAATGAAATCAGCTATCACGCAAATTGACTGACAGGTCTAAATACACTGGTATTCGTTAGACTACAGCTGTACATCATTAGACAAAAGTCTTCTAGTTCTGTTCAAGGTATTCATAAACAATTAAACTATTTTGTACATACTGATTAAGAACAATTCAACCTATTCCATCGTGTACTGTATGTGTGCATATACCTTTCATTTTCTTGGTTGAAAAATGGATTTGACTTTAATGAACAATTGAGTCAAAAACTCATGCGATTTATCACTCAAGTAGCACTGAGTATTTTAGATAAGGTTCAGTGACTGATGTCCCAGGTCAGCACAAGGCCACTGGCATGTGTGACCACAGCCTGATTCCTCTGTTTATTTAAACCAGCCATATCCCTGTTCCTCTCATCACTCATCTGCCCACACGAGGAAGATAACTGCGTGTGACTGATTGCACTTTCCCATTTATTTACACATTCACTTACGCCCCCCCCACACCCCCTCACCCCCCTATTCCCGTCTGTAATATTCCACTTTAACTCTGAGCATCACTTCCATTGTTGCTGCATTTCATCATATCAACACAGAGACCAGTCACCCAGCAGCATGTCTGTGAAACTATGGTTATGACTTCAATTAAACATGCACAAACTGAGTGAAAACTGTACCTTGTACATAGTGATGGGTATATCAATGAAAATGTAGATGAGGTCACCCAGTGCCAGGCTGGCAATCAGGGCATTGGGCCCGTTCCTCATGCACTTATTCCTGTATATAATCCTCAACAGGGTGGCGTTGCCAACCAGGCCGACCGCAAACACTATGATGGAAATTGTGGTGTTGATGTACTTAAAATAGTCCTTGATAGAAGTAGTTTGCATGCACAGTGGAGGTGGCACTGGTGTCTTTATGACAGTTTCATTTGCAGAGCCAGATCTCACAGCTTGTGCATCAGCCCTTTGGGCCCCCAGGTGGAAGCCGGGCCCCGTGCTTGGACTGACGGTGCTGTAGAAGCCCGTGGACTGGAGGGTGGAGTGGACGAGGAAGCCTGGGAGAGAGCCCTGCTCCGCTTCAGCTCTGTTTATCTGGCACATTCCTCTGGCTGCCATACAGGCCATTAGCACCAACATATGTGCAGCTGGGGTGCCCATTATGGAAAACATTCGCTGCTTTGATTTCCCTGATTGAAATACTGTCCCAATATATCACTGGTGAGAAAAGAGAAAAAAAACAAGAGGAAGATTTGGTTATTTTTTTCAGACAACACACAGAGGAAGAAATCCTGCAACTTCAACAGCTATCTCTTCATTTTGTCTCAACTTAAATCTAACCAAAGTGGAATATTATATGTCGGTTACAAGAAAGTTTGACAGCATTACTGTCCCTCGCAAATGCTGTAAGGAAGTTTACAACTTCTTCAGGACTTGAAAAAGGTTTTACCAAGGCGGCACAGATGGGAGATGCCAGGACTAGTTACAGTCAGACAGTAAGGATGAGGCATCAGCGGAGTGTGTTGGGCATCTCTTTTGCTCACAGTCGTTCCTGGAAGAAGGAGCGCTTGGTTATGTCTTTGTGTCAATAATGTTGCAGCTAAACAGAAAGGCTTTATCTCCGCTTGTGCCGTTTTGGCAATGACTCCCGTCTGTGGGTTTGCAGCTGTATGATTTCCTTAGTTTTGCATTCTCCCTCTGTTTCTAATTTAGAAAGGTTTAAACATGTGGTCAGAAAACAAAGAGTTTTTTAAACCATGCAAGCGGTGCTGCAGGGCTGATTTCCAGTAAAGTGTGCAATGCAAGAGTAACAGTTAAAATAAAAATCAGATGAAAACCAAAATACATACTTATAAATCGGATTCCCTTGTGAATCCTTTGGCTCTCTACTAAGTTTACTCTTGTGAATTTATAAATACCTTCACCTCTACTGCTTCTTAACAGGCAAAACAGCAAACTTTCTGGACAAAATCAGAGTAACTCATTCCACCAAACTCCTGGTAAAGAGCAGATAAAGTTTCAAACTGTCAGATCGATAGTGAAGCCCTTTTCATCATGTCACAGTACAGGCAACTCTTATAGCCCAGAGTTCTTCCTGTTCAAAGTCCCAGCTGTCACCAAGTACACAAAGAACTATTTAGCAGCCAGCCCTTCAAGTAGCATCACAGTTTAGCATCAGCATGACACTGCTGGGATCTGTGACAGCACGCAAACTGATCTATCCATAAATAATAAATACGTTTGGTTTTCACCTACCGCTTCTAAAATGTCTGCCTGGCCCCCTTGGAAACTGTCAGGCAAACTTTCGGCTGAAGCCCCCAGACATCTGTATCACATCACATGAGTAATTAACGCACTATCAAAGCCGCACCGTATCCCACTTGGTTTGAGCAATGCACCCGTCTGCTCTGAGGTGCCTTCGCATTATGGTTCAGAGTTTCCTGTTGAGAGTTTGCAGTATGTCTGAGTGTGTGTGCTTGTGTGTGTGTGTGTGTGTGTGTTTGTGTGGTTGTGTGTATCTCTGCATGTGTGTGTGTGTGTGTGTGTGTGTGTGTCAGAGCACCAGTGAGACACTTTGACTGGGTGGGATAGTAAATCTCCACCTCCCTTTGCTAACAGACTGGGCCCCCTTTGGAAACATCACCCCCCTCTCTCCTCTCTCTCAGAGGCACCGCCTGCTGACAGTCATCTCCAAGGCACAGTGGCGCGTGCGCACACACACACACACACACACACACACTGGGGCAGGGGCATCTGGGAGCCCAACACCCCTCCAATCTGCCCCTTTCTTTAAAGCCCTCCTACCTCCTCTTTCAGCCCCTCTCTGACTCACATCAGGTCTTGTATACACTACATGCAACTGTTTCCTCACACGAAAGGCAGCAGAGATTAGATTGGAGGGAGGAAGGCAAGACACAGTTAATGTCCATGTTGTGTTGTTATATGTACTTCATTTGAGAGGGGGAAACCAAGACAGGAAGTGGGAGCTAACCATCGGGCAGTCTGTACTTTTACAAACTAATTGCCGTGTGGGTGGTCGGACTAGATCACACTGTCTTACTCTTGCTACACGTGAACTTCAGATGCAGTCTTGTAATGAAGCTTTACATCATCTGTAAAAGGTAGATAATCACAATGTAATAGATGATAAGTTGAGTAAAACGTGGTTAAGTCTAAATGAGCATTCCTTTCAATTACCAGATATACAACATAATTACAAAATAAGTCCAATATATTGCATGCAAAAAAAAGAAGAAAAACAACACATGCCAAACAAACAGTGCTCTGTGAGATGACTAAATGCGTGTGAGTGAGGGAAGAGTATAGCTCTATGTCAAGAGAGAAGAGTGCTCCTACATCAGTGTCCATTATGGATTCCAAAATGGACCATTTATCATGATGTGCGCTAAGAGCAGGAAGAGGGCTATCAAAGTCACCACGATCCGTCTTCCCCGCTGCCAAAGAGCTGACACAGCAACTGCTTAAAGAGGAAAACCACTCAATTAAAAAATTCGTATGCTATTCCAGCCATGCCTGGTAGAATTCAGTACATATTTGTTAAAATGGCCTATTCTCCTCTGAATACATTAAACAAACAGAGAGATAAATAAACCTCCTCCAATGAATTTAAAGTAGAACTAGAAAATATATGGACTTTATAATTCTCACTGGATACTTTTACAGGCACCTTAAACACCGAATGTTACATTTTTAAAGGGTTACACTTACATTATCTTCAGTCAGAACATGTTTCTCCTATTTCCAGAAATTTTTGTAAACGCTGGCTGTAGGAAGTGAAAAAAAAGAACGTACAGAGATGTAATGATGTCCACCTATGTTATTTCTTTGTTCATGAGAATATAAAACTATCTTTATTACAGAAATGAAAATAGATGTCATTAATTAGAAGTAGTAAAGAGTAGATTTATGTACATGATGCTACAAAATCAGGTATTTATTATTGATCATATGGACAATATGAGATGAGTATGATGAAGAAAGAGAAATGTGGGTAAAAGGTAAGAACATGCAAGACAATAATTACATAAACCAGTTAAAATGACTTTCCTATTTTGGTGTGGTTGGCCTCTTCAACTTGAGTTACAAAATTCTAAGAACAAAATATAAAGTGTACAACATGTATTGAATACATATGGAATTATGTCTATTAAACAGTGGCATGACTGGTGATGTTTTTAAACTCTGAATGAAACTTCTATGCTTCCTCTCTGAAAATATAGGTTCAGCGTTTATGGTTCATTTGCAGGTACTTTTCCTACAGTCAAATGTGACTTAATTGGGTAATGCCAATATTTACAGCCATTTAAAATTAAAGGGATCATGTTTTCTTTAATTGTAGTCATGAATATATCATGGCTTCTGAATTAGTTATGGTCAGCAGTGGCGAATATTTAATTTATTGGAACGTGATTTGCTGACGGCATCTGATTTTCTTATCCTTGTTTTTTTTTTTTTTCCAAAGTCCCTTGATTGTTGGCAGCTTCTATGACATTTAACTTTTGAGGGGGTAGTAGAGCCTTTGTTAGTAAATCCATTAATATATAAATGATGAAACCTTTACCTGCTCCCAGTTGCTTTGGCTTTCATGTTGTTGTTGTGTTGTTGTTTGGATCGTAATCAGGTATTAATGCCATTCTGTCTGAACTCAAAGATGGCAGGCTGCCTGGTAATTCATATGCTTGTTCTCTGATGGCATCTGTCGAAGTGTGCTCTCTGCATATTGGTACATACCCTATGGGAAATTTCAATCCAGCCCCAGACTGAGTGGGATGTAAGCAATTTCTTAACTGGGACACTTGCGCAAAAACAGAAAGAACAGAGAGAGAAAGATACAGGGAAAAAGAGGAAGAGAGCGAGAAGGAGGGAGGGAAGGAGGGAGGGAGGGAGAAAATAAGTTTGAGGCCAATTCTACTGTGACAAGCAGTGACAGAGTGAAGAGGGCTCAGTATACTGCCTGGCTTTATTAATTTGGGACATATGGTTCACACAAACAAAAAAGTTGAGGGAAAAATTAAATGTGAACCACGATGGTGGAATTTTCATAATAGCCTGATTAGTGCCAGCGCTTGACTTCATCTGAAATTAATCAATATAATATTAACAGACTACTTTAATTAGAAGGAGGGAAACTTTGTCGAAGCAGTGATGATGATATCTGATGAAAAGAAGCTGTGGAGAAATCTGTGTTCTGGAGAAAAATGCAGTTGTAAAGTTCCCACAACTTTCCTCACTACGGCCTCAAGAGATCTGGAGGTGTGTGCTTAACCGTAACTGATAGATAAGGCTATTATTGTCCAAGTTCACTGGTATAAATCTACGGGAACAGCTAATCAGGGGCCTTTGGAGCTCTAAATTGATTATCGTTGGAACTGTGTTTTCCTCAAGACCATATGTTATAAAACATAAAACATAAAACATAATGGTGGTGTGCAGTTATTAGTTTCCCTGTATTTTTTTCATCTCATTAGAGATCTGTTTTGCTTGAGTCACTCAGATTCACAGTTTTTTCACTATTGTGAAAAAAGAAGCTATAATTGATACTGAAGCCATGCATCAGAAATTATCCATAGCACATCAACAGTATAATATTCAGCACATTAAGTGAATTTGGATTGCTGCAATCTTTTCTTTTTTTTTTCTATGGATGTCAACTCATCTCTGCCTCATATCAGAGGTCAGTGTTGAGACAACGCCTTTACAATTCCCAAACTCAACCACTTCTAGAGGATGACTCAGTCTTACTGGCATCAGCACACCAAACTGAACTCAGTGAGGAATTAAGGCTGTGCATAAATGGGGGGAGTGTGAATACAAGGCATACAAGAAACATTTGTACATTTGAACTGGTGGCTTTGTATGAAACACAGACAGAGGAGTAAAAATTAAAGTTTGGGCCACTGCTGAGCTGCTGGAGTTTGCTCACCAAATATTAATTGATTCATTTAAAAGTGCAAGATAGCAGTTTTGCTTATAATGGTTATAGGGATAAAATGCCATCTAGAGTGTCTGGAGTCTCTTTGGAGCTGCAGTAACATTATTTGTAGGAGAGAGGATTGTCCAGGAGTTTGTACTAAAAGGTAAACACACTGTGATTCTCTTGGATCTCAGCTGCGGTGAACTGAAACTTGATCGGAAATAGCGTATGTTTAGAGTATGTGATAATAGTGTATGATATCAGTACATTATAGCTGATATCAGTTGGACAGCCCATGCCAAGCCACAGTTATTTTTTATTAGCCCCACATTTTTATCCACTAGCTATATCGCCAGCTGTACCATGTCGACCATGCATCAAATTTTTGAACTCAATCTTTTGAACTGCTGATTAATGTTCACATGTACTGCACTCAAAGTATAGGCCCATCGTACGTTAAAAAATGAATGTTAACATGTAACGTTTTACATATGCATACATTTAGTGCTTTGATAGAAAAAAACATTCCTTCAAGCTGGATAGAGCTCTTGTAAAAATACTGAAGTTGTACATGAACATGAATCCTAGAAGAACCAGTATAGAATATACAGGAGAGTGAGCTGTAGTGCTCTTGTTAAAGGATTACTGTTGCATTTTGGGAAATATGCTTACTTGTTGTTTTACCGTAAAGTAGATAAGAATGTTGATATAAGTGTCAAGATACACGAACACTAGAAACAGGAGGAAACTCGACCTGTCAAAGTTGTCTTCCTGTTGCCACGTTGTATGTTGTGTATTCAATATGTGGAGCCGTGACTGTCCAGTAACAGCTGGGCCTAGTGAGTGCACAGTGACTTTTAGATAATCAAATCCAGACAAAGCATTTGTGACTAGTTTGATAGCAAACAAGACACAACAATGGATGGCGTAGTTTTTCCTGTTTTGGTGGAGGGCAGCAGCTGTTAGCGATCTCTACCTAAGGCAGGGAGATGAAACTGATTTTGGTCTTAATTCTTTTGATATTACCATGTTAATGTGCAATTGGCAATAATGAGAGATGAAAATTAGTTTTGTAGTAGCTAACATCATTTACAGCTAACAACTGCAACAATGTTGCTAATGTAGAAGTAACATAAGTGGCTAAATAACACTGGAAAGAATACAGTTCATTGAAGTGCTGAGAGTTTGTTATATTCTACAGCAGCTACATGATGGTATAAATGAATAACTGCAAAGTGAGAAGCTGCTGTCCAGCAGGACAATTACTGGAAAACCATTTCGACTAGGCAAAATGCTATTGCTATGCGATTCATTCTGAAAATTGTTGCCATAACATACACTGCTTGTAGTGTTCATATGCTTAACACAGGGCTCTGAGATGACAGGGTAACTGATTGTTGGGTCAGTTACAGCCTAGACACATTCCTGCTCACAATCTGGCTCTTGTCAGACAGACCCTAAAAGTGCTGATAAACTCAAGAGTCTTAGCCCATCACACTTTGCTTTCCCCTATCAGAAAGCATGAAAGCATCATCAAAATGTCTGGAACATAATTATAACTC